TCAAGGGGCAGCTCTGCGGCGCCTCGCCCAACAACCTCCTGGGTAGGGTTCGGAATGCGGGTTGTCTAGGGCCGATAGTGCATATTGGGTTTACGGTTTAGGGTTCAGGGTTTAGGGCTAGGTTTTTTGTGCGAATATCTGAATACCTATCTATATAGATGCACATATATTTATATGCGTAGCCAAGTACAATGTTTTTGTTGTTGCCACCCGCCTGGCTGACGAAAAGCTGCACTCCGGGGTACGTCATGAGTGCTCGCATAGGGAAAACTGTAGGCGTTTGGGGCCTGACTTAGGGTTTACCTTACTAGGCCCCCAAAAACCTATGTTTTTTTTGTAGGTTCTTAGTAAGGATTTAGGGTTTACCTAAGGCCCCCAAAAACCTACTTTTTTTCGGCTAATTAGTATAAACAAAAGTGGGTTCGGCTTCTTGAGGTCGGGATCAGGGGTAAGGAGAGCCAAACGGCAGGGTTTTGGGTTCATAGGGTTTAGGAGGGTGTAGGGTGTAGGGTGTAGGGTTTAGGGTTTAGGGTTCATGAGTTCGCAGGCAAGCAGGCGGTGGCAGTGGCAAAGCTTCCTTGCGGGTGTGCGCAGTCTGGCAGACCCATGTAAACCTCAGAGGGTGCCTAGCGTGCCTGGCGCCTCAACGCGAAGCACCTTGGGATTTTCAAACGCTTATACCCTGCAAAGCCATGTGCCTTGGATTCTTAAACATGGGTCCTAAAGCTACTATATAGGAACTCCTTTAGGGCCCAAGTATGTACGATAAATGTACATGGATCCTTATGAAAACTAAAGCCCTGGACCCTCAAAACTACAACAGCCTTTGCGAGCCCGTCTCTCCACCCCTTTGAAGCGTTGAAGAACCATCCTGCAAGCCGAAACATCCACATCAAACCCTAAACCCTAAACCCCAAACCCTGAACCCCACACCTTGAACCCCAAACCCTAAACCCCAAGACCCCCTAACCCTACACCCTGGTCCGAGTTTCCGGGTCAATGCTCTGTCCGATGTTCTGTGAAGAAAGACTAGAAGTGCTTCCCTCGGTCGACACATACATGTAGAGCTCACACCTTGGCTTGATAAGCTTTGGGGGGGGGTTAGGGTTTATAGGGCATAAAGGGTTTAGGGTTTAGGGTTTATAAGGTTTAAGGTTTAGGATATAGAGGCTTTGTTTGATTTATCGGTTTAGGGTTTGTAGGGTTGAAGGTTTTAGGATTTATAGCCTTCGGGGTTAAGGCTTGAGGGTTGCTACATTGCACACTCTCCAGGAACAAGAATAGCGGACAACCCTACTTGATTTCTTGTAGAGCTTGTAAGGCTTAGAGGGCTTTAGAAGGGTTCCAGGACTTCGAGGGCTTGCAGGCTTTCACGGCGCTTCTGTAGTGCGTGAGGGTTCATAGGAGGGCTTGTACGGCTTCGAGGGCTTAGGGCTTGAGCCCTCAAGAACTGGCCCCCTTCGCCCCGTACAAAAGCCAACAAAGCACTTGCCCTTAACAAGGAAGAATATTATATTTTTTTCGGGGTTCTAACTTAGTTGCTGAGTTCGCTGAGTTCATAAGCCCCCCAAAAGTGTACACTTTCAGTTCTGTAGGTGATTATACGAACCCCAAAAAGTGTAAAGTGTACTCACTCAGCTACTAAACTCCAGACCCAGAAACCTAAAGGCCACTTTACAACTACTAAACCCTAAACCCTCAACCCTAAACCCTAAACGCCTATGGGAAGCTCCTGAGCCTGTTTCCTGCCAAAGCACCCGGCAGTGGGCGACATCCGATGCCACGCGGACCCATTCACCTGGGAAAGGTTTTTGCCCCTTCCATCCCTAAACCCTAAACCCTAAACCCTGAACCCTAAACCCTAAACCCTAAACCATTCGGAGATTTATGTTTGTTTGACGCACATCCGGTTCCAGCGGGCTCACCGTGGCCTAGTGCTTCTGATCTGAGTGAAATGGATATGGGAGAGGGTGCCCTACAAGGCCATCGTTAGGGTTTAGGGGTTAGGGCTTAGGGTTTACGGGTTCAGGGTTTAGGGACAGGGGAGAGGCATGTGAAATCGACATGTTCAGATGCTGGTGTGGAAAGCAGTCGAGTGGCGTCGATCGCCAAGCAGTCGCAAAGCCTGGAGCAATGTCGGAGCGCAAAGCCCGCCCCTCCATAGTCCCCCAGGACTGCTTAGGATCGGGCCTAAACCCTAAACCCTAAACCCTATAAACTCTAAACCCACTTCAGGGATGCCACGTTCTTGCCACCCGCCTAACCAAGCACCGCGGTTGTTTGTTACCCAGAAGCCTACGAATCCCTAAGCCCTAACCCTAAACCCTTTACCATAACTGGGTTGTTCTGTTGGGTTTAGTAGGGGGGATGTAAGGCGATCGGGATCCTAACCCTGCAACAGGGAAGAAGAGCTGAGAGATTCTAGTGACAGGGATATGTCTTTACTCAGATTAGAACCCTGTCTAGTAGTGTTAAGGTACTTAGGGTTTAGGGTTTACGGTTCAGGGTACATTCCTCAACCCCTCAACCCTGAACAACAGGCCAGGGATTAACACCCGGCCTCAAGACAACAAAACAAACCATGCAAACCCTAAACCCTAAATCCTTTTTAAACCCTAAACCCTAACCCCGAAACCCCAAACGCTCAACCACAAACCGTACCACGCAACCCGACTACCCTTTTGGGCTTTGACTAAGGGCTGCCATCGCCTGAAGTCCGCCGTCCCACAGGAACACAAAAGCCCCCTGAGGCGTGGAATGAGCCCACCTTAAACTGTTCGTTCATCCTCAGTAGGGTTGAGGGTTTAGGGTTTAGGGTCAGAAGAGCGCCATAGATTTTCGGGCACCTTACATCGTTCAGAGCCATAAGTGCAGAGAAATAGGGCCGAACACCGTAAAAAGATTATATATATATGTATATATATGTATATGTATATACATATAGATGTATATACATATATATATATATATACATGTATACATATACATACATATATATATATATAGAGAGAGAGTAGGATTGTACATACCCAGAAAGGTGAACGGCTACCTACCCTTAGTAGATTCTCGAGGCTGATTCTAGATGTTCCACAATTCAGGGGTCTTGGGCTCTAGTGGTTCCCACCCTCCTACCCCCGCCCCTTTCCACCGCAGGTCCCCCGGTTTAGGGTTTAGGGTTTGGGGTTTGGGGTTTAGGGTTTGGGGTCGCGGATGGCCTCTGGTCTTGCCACTCTCCTCCGAAGAAGTCCACACAGAAGTGGAGGAAGTCGTTGAACAAACCTGTGCGTCTTAAGAAGAGGATATTGCAGGCTTTGCAAGGCTTGTCTTGTGGCGTTGAGAATTAAGGCGTCCTGAGGATTTCTTCCCCCCCCCCCAAAAAAAAAAAAAGGGTTCACAGGCACCTTGGAACACGAGAGCCAGCCCCTGAGATCAGAGTTCCAGTGTGCCAGCTAGGATTCGCCACTTGCTAGGCGGTCTTGGACCTGTGACCTGACGTGGATATCTTACCCTAAACCCTAAACCCGGACCCATACAGGCTCGACCCCTCCGCCTTCCCCTTACAAGGACCCAAAGCCAAAGCACAAACTGGGTCGACAAACGGAGGGGGTCTAGGTAGGGGTTAAGGTGCGCCGGCTGTCTGGTTTGCTCTACACCCCACGATGCATCACGCGCACTCTTTCTCGCGTGTCTGCTCTCTCTCTCTCTCTCTCTTGAAGAAAACCGCCTCCCTAGCTTGTCACTTTCTACCAGTGTGCCTTCTTGGCTGACTTCTGAACCTCTCCTAAACGTTTAACTTTTTTAGGCTAGTTTCTACAACAACCCAACAGGTTCAAGTCCTGAGAACCAACCAGAAGAAAGCCAAGCCTTGCCCTCGGATTGCACGACGGGCCGTGCCATCTGAGCAGGATGTTGGCTTCTGCTTGTACAGTTTCAGGTATGCCGGTGCCCTGGGACACAGGTGCTGTTAAACCACCTGCCCGCCTGATGTCCCTTAGGTGTGTCACAAGTGCAACCCGAAGGACTAAAAGCACAAACCCCATGCCCTAAATCCAAAACTTGAAGGGTTTAGGGTTTAGGGTTTAGGGGTTAGGGTTTAGGGTTTAGGGTTTAGGGCTAGGGCAAGCCCTGACTACACTGCCCCACTTGACGCCTGCCGCTGGCCGTCGGAGGACGTAGAGTGCCAAGCAGATGGCCTGCGACCTCCGATTACCATGTCGGGCTTAGGGTTTTAGGGATTAGGGTTTTAGGGTTTAGGTTTGAGGAGCCCCCCCCCCCCCCCCCCCGAAAAAAAAAGGCTACCAGGGGTTAGGATTCATCACCGCCCGGAACCCATCATTTGCCTACGTTACAACCCTGAAACCCTAAACCTTATAAACTCCAAACCCCAGCTTCATCTAAAGACCCGGCCCATTCTAAGAGGACTCCTTGTCCGCTCACAGTACTACTTTTATATCTTTTTGGTAGGGGCTTTCAAGCTATGAAAAACATGTCCACTGATTGCCTTACGTTGAACTAGTGCAAATACCTTCGCCCCATTCCTTTGGTCCTTTTGTACCGTGTTTGTGGTTCTATATTTGGGCATCTTTTCGCTCATTTATCTTAATATTTGCGAGAGAGCAAAGAAGCACCCATGAAAAAACGACACCTGACCGTGTAGATTCACTGACGTCTTTTGGCCCCCGAAGCATACTGATGTATAAGGACATGAAGCCGCATGAACTTACTCAATTTCATGGGGTCTTTTCCTTCATTGCCTTCCTAATATTGCTTGTTCAGTTGAGTTCATGCGTCGTTCATATCTTCACTCCTTCTCACCCAAATTAAACAAGCAAAATAAGAGAATTTTAGAATGAAGAATCCAGCAAAATACGAGCACAAGCCCAATTTAAATGACGTACTTTGAGGGGCTGTTTTACTCCTACCTTGAGGGCCGGTATATTACCTTGGTTGCGGCATAGTTACTATCTTACTATCATTTACGTCTTCGTTGGCATGAAGCCCTACAAACACCGGGGTGGCCTTGGGTAAATCAGATTTCCACGGGGTGTAAATATGAGGTCAGGGTTGTTATACGGTGACTTCTTCGCACTAGGGTCACTTTTGGGGTCGTTATTATAAGGCAGTCCCTATTCCTTAGGTGTACCCCAAAAGGGATCATCATTGGGAGAACTGGCCATATAACGGTCTAGAAGGTTTACAGGATCTACAGCTCCCCTCCCCGCCCCTTCGCGCGTTGTTCTGGCCATCCGAGATTTCGGGCCCCTAAACCCTAAACCCTAAACCCTAAACCCTAAACCCTAAACCCTAAACCCTAAACCCTAAACCCTAAACCCTAATATAGGGTCATTAAGGAGGGGGTTCATGGGGGGCAGGTACCGAGGGAACCTTAGGAACCTTGGGTCCCATGCCCCCGTTGAACCCCCCTCCCTTAAGAACCCTAAACCCTAAACCCTAAACCCTAAACCCTAGAACTCTAGGAGGTGCCAGGTCAAGCCTGACCGCGGACTTCGGGGTTCACGAGCTTTGGAGAGGTCGAGTGCTAGGATGGCCCTTTAAAGCCCTCTTAAAAACACATATCCCGAAGTTCGTCCTCTTCAACCCAAGAAAGGAAAATATGTCGTATCCCAAAGGCCCTACCAAGTAGAACGACTTAAACCCAAAAAAAGGGAAAATGCAAGATGCCCGTTAATTCAGGGGGTAGAACAACCTTGACTTGCACCCTACTTTGGAGCAGACCCTGGAAAAAAAGTACATACGTTTTAGGTATCAGTAGCCAAAATAGGAACCCAGAACCAAAACAAGTATTAAAGTATAGTACTCCAAAACCCAGTGCATTCGCCTCGTCATGGCCCGTTCAGGCAGGATCTGTGCAGCAAACGCCTGTGCCAGGAGGAGGTACCTCGACCCATCGAGTTCAATTGCTTTCGGGGTTTAGGGTTTAGGGTTTAGGGTTCAGGGAATAAACCGACCCCTGAAAAACCTCATGCATGTACCCTACTTGGAGGTTCAGGGTAGCTATGGCTACAACCTGACATGTACCCAACCTCCAAGTAACCCTAAACACACACTTTTTTTTGCGGGAGGTCTCCTTACCACTGCCTGCCTCAACCCTCAACTCCATAAACCCTATAAACCTTATAAACCCTATAAACCTTCTAAACCCTATAAACCTTATAAACCCTATAAAGCCTATAAAGCCTATAAAAGCCTATAAAGCCTATAAAGCCTATAAGGCCTACAAAGCCCAAACCCTAAACCCCTAAACCCCTAAACCCTCAACCCTAAAACCTAAACCCCAAACCCCAACCCCTAAACCCCTAAACCCCTAACCCTGAACCCTTAACCCTAAACCCCAAACCCCAAACCCCCAAACCCAGAACGGAATGCGGAAGAATGGCGCATCCAGTGTAGCTTCCGCAGGCATCCCCTGGTCCGCCGCCACCCTTGCTCCAGGACTCTTGCGGGGAGACTCAAAAAGGGGTTTACGGGTTTAGGGTTGAAGGCTAGGGTTGAGGGTTTAGGGCTAGGGTTTAGGGTTGAAGGCTAGGGTTTAGGCTTTAGGGTTTAGGGCTAGGGTTTAGGGTTGAAGGGTGCAGGGTGTAGGGGTTAAGGGCTTTTAGGGGCTTACGGTCGAGGGCTTGAGTGTTTTTGTTCACTCCCGCGCTCGCTGGAGCAGGCAAGGATTCTGTTCGGATCAGCTGCATGTCCCGGCTCTGTGTAACCCTAAACCCTAAACCCTAAACCCTAAACCCTAAACCCTAAACCCTAAACCCTAAGCCCTAAACCCTAAACAATGCCAACACAACCGAGCGATCCTTCAACAGAGCCAAGCGCTTCAGGGATTAGGGGTTTTGGGAATTCGGGGTTTATGGGTTGAAAAGGTTTGGGGTTTAGGAGTTGGGGGCTTTAGGGCTTAAGTTTACGGTTTAGGGCCTACGTAGTTCAGGGGTTAGGGCCGTCATCCTTGCACCGGAGCCATGCAATCTTCTTTGCATCGTTCTAATTGCGTCGGATTTTTGTCACCCACACGGCACACGCCAAGAGGCACCCACTCCGCAGGGACAAATCGAGGTCTCACAGCAAATCCGATCCGGTTTCAAAACGCTTAACGCTTACTTGGAGGTACTTTTTACCCCAGTCATGACTGTGCTTACTCTGTGCTTATGAGCCCTCTAAGTAAGCAGACTGAATAAGTACCCATGAACCTCCAAGTAGGGTTCGCCCCCCACCTCCCCAAAAAACAGACACGGCCAGCATTGCGACACCCCAAAGTGCCTGGAGGTGTGACTCACACTCATGACCCTAAACCCTAAACCCTAAACCCTAAACCCTAAACCCTAAACCCTAAACCCTACAGTGCAGCTCTCGGGACCCCGAGTCTGCTTTTGGATTGCTCACACAACATAGAGACCACGAAGAAGCGTTTTGGGCTTCGGATTTTGGGGTTTCTAGCCTAGGGGATAGGATTAGGGGGACCCTTGGGGATAGAGACCCTCTGAATAAGGTCCCTGTTTAAGAGAGCCAGAAGAGGTTAAGAAGGGGTTCCCTTTTAAGGGTCCCCCTTATCCTACCTAGGATAGCCCAATCCTACCAAAACACTATGAGATCCTCAGAACTGTTCGGATTTTACGCTGTAGGGTTTAATCCCGTTTCGGATTCGGGTGCAGAGCTGCTGGGTTACTCCTAAACCTTGAACCCAAAAAACCCAAGCACCAAACCTGGCCATGTAACTATCCAAGCTTCTTGTGGGAGAAATGAGGCTTCCGAAACTAGGGGTACCTTAGGAGTCCTTGTTATTACAAGGGGAATTCCACTATTTGGGAGTCTATACTCGGGATGCCCTATTTTTTTAAAGCCCCATATGTTGGTGATTTTAGGCCCCACAGCAATTTCAAACTCATTCCAAAGCAGCCCAAGAGACACTAAACCCCAACAGCAGAGGGTTCCAGCCAAGACTCATGCACCTTGCAGCTGTGGTCAAGTCAAGGACAGCACTTTCTGCGGCCATCAGCCTCGTCGGACTTTCGGGGGTTAGGGTTTAGGGTTTGGGTTAAGGGTTTAGGGTTTAGAGTTTACGGTTTAGGGTTTAGGGTTTAGGGCTAAGGGCCTAGGGTTTAGGCTTAGGGCTTAAGGATTAGAGTTGAATCGCGCCCACAGTTCCGGCAAACTAGCCAAGAAAACAGTGCCCCTTTCTTTTCGAGTAGTGTTTGTGGGGTCCTACGCCTATTTTTCGGACTCTTGCGCCGATAACAATAATGGGAGGAGTAGCAATTACTGGGTATCCAGTCTTGGGCTACGCTTTCGGCTGAGTGTGGGCATGCGGGTGTGTAGAGAGATGTGTCCGCAGATGTCTACAGCTCGGATTGCCGGCATCGAGGGCTTTAGGGTTTAGGGTTTATGTCCCTGTATACCACTGTATGTCTTTTGCGTGCAGATACTCATACACGCACAACTCCCTTCAGATTCATGCAGGGCGCCCCGATTCGCCCCCCTCCCCTGCCCCCAAATTAACCTCCCCCCTAATTAAACCCTAAGCCCCGGAAATCCTGCTGGGTGCGGGCCACCACCCTGATCTGGTTGAATTCCCTCCCTAAACCCTAAACCCTAAACCCTAAACCCTAAACCCTAAACCCCCTACAGATTCTCAGGTTGACTTCATGCGAACGAGGCCTGTTGAACTGATCCTCTCGGTCGATGCAGGTGATCTCGACGGTGAAGTGAAAGCTGAGACCTGCAGACCCTCGAAGACCCGCAAGCACCGGTCCGCAACCCAAAAGCTGCGCCAACCCGAAACTGTTAGGGTTTAGGGTTTAGGGTTTAGGGTTTAGGGTTTAGGGCTTGCCCTTAAATCCAGCCTCCAAAACCTCCAATAGGCCGCCTTTTGAAAAAGGAGTGAGCCGAGCCCCCCCAAAGCTTCTAAACCCTACGCCACCAAACTTGAGGTTGTCGAGTGTCACCCTACACCAATGGAAGCAACAGCGACCCGTACTCCCTTGGGGAACACCTTGAACGCTAAAATGGCTAGGATTTTTTTGGGTTTAGGGGGGCTTAGGGATTAGGGTTTAGCGTTTTAGGGTTCAGATTCATTCCTCGGAAAGATATGGAAATGTAGTTTCATAGTAGAGGGTTATAGTTTCGTAGTAGAGGGTACAGAACCCGAATTCTTCGGGCTCATTTGCCCAGGGTCAACAGCAGCATACCGCACCCAGCTTGCCGACCACACCACAGCTGTAGGGTTTAGGGTTTAGGGTTTAGGGTTTAGGGTTTAGGGTTTAGGGTTAAGGGTTTATTGAACGCACCTGTGGCAACCAAGCGCTGCGCACACAACCAGAGCACCCAATTTCCACACGCCGCGCATCGACTTACCTTGTATTGTATGGGCCCACTGAACTAGCTAAAGGTATCCTGGAGGCAGTTCGTACAGTATGAATATCTTGTTGTCGAGGTGTAAACCCTAAACCCTAAACCCTAAACCCCAAACCCCAAACCCCAAACCCTAAACCCTAAACCCTAAACCCTAACAACAAGGGTCACATGATTTGTAGGCTCCTGAACACCGGGTCGAGCGCGCGTGCAAGGGCGAGGCCCGGGCGCAAGAAGGCTGAGGGACCGATGCTTTGATGTCCCAATGCCGCTGCCGGGTTTAGGGTTTAGGGTTTAGGGTTTAGGGTTTAGGGTTTAGGACCCCCCCCCCCCCCCCCCCAAAGTATGCAAAAGTTAGATTCTTCCTTATAAGGGGTATTCTAGGGAACATGATCTCTTGTCTTCATCTTCCCGGTTAGGGTTCATCTTGGGGACATTATCTTGTATCTTCGGGGGTTCTTTAGCAAATAGTAGGTTTGTAGTTGACCGGCCAAAGATGCTGGCGCGCCCTTCTGAATTTCATGGGGGCTGTCCAAGGAATCAGCCCCACTCCGCACGAACACAAGACTCCTGTAGTCTGCAACTGCTTTTTTCGCTTATAGTTTAGGGTTTAGGGTTTAGGGTTTAGGGTTTAGGGTTTAGGGTTTAGGGTTTAGGGTTACAAAGACCCCTATTCGGGGCAGGAAGCTGTGCAAGAGGTTGCGGCTGCAGAGAGGGCTTCCTAGAGACGCGACTTCCGGTAAGACTGAAGGGTCTCCTGCGCCACTTCCTGACAGAAGAGGGCATCCTCCGCCGACTGTATGTTCAAGTAAATCTTCCTTAGCACAGGGTTTAGGGTTTAGGGTTTAGGGTTTCGGGTTCAAGTAGATCTTCCTTGGCAGTTGGAGTCCAAGACGAATGCCATGGCAGCTCATCTACTTGGAGGCTTATGGGTACTTCTAATTCTAAGGAGGGTTCTGAGGTACCCTAAAATTAGGGTTCTAAGTAGGGTTCTGAGGTACCCTAAACCCTAAACCCTAAACCCTAAACCCTAAACCTTGAAATTAGGGTTAGAGCCATAGGTACCCTACTTCTACACTTATACGCACCCATGAGCCTCCAAGTAAGGGGTTCTAATGCCAGGTGCCGGGTAACAGTTCTGTGCGCGTAGATGCAAGGCACCGCAGAAATACTATCACTGAGAGCCGCCCTAAATTTGGGTAAGAACAAAACCCAACTTTGATGGCTTTGGCTTGTATAAGGACACAGGGTTAAAGAACATAGGGGATTTAGGGTGAAAAAAACAAATCCAGCCAAGCTTCTCGCCATGAAAGTCTTTGGTGGTCAGACGACTGGGCAAGCCCACGGGCGAACGGCCCGTGACAACGCCGTAGAAAACCTGACTACTAATTGCTTAAGAACCCCGAAAAAATGTAATTCCCTGTTAAGGGTAATTATAGATGATTATATTTTATTCTTTTGGGGTTAAGCAAATAGTAGCTGAGCTGCCAGCTAGTCGTCGAGCCGGGTTAGAACCCCTATATGCCCTGCAAATCTACTACTTGCTTCAGAGCCCCCCCCAAAAATGTACAAGACAAGAATCCCTATGTGACCCTTAGGGAGAATATTGATTTTCCCTAAATCCTGAACCCTTAACCCTTTTTGCATCCGGACTCCCGTGGGAACCCTAAACCCTAAACCCTAAATTCCTCTGAGTCCCGGGGGCGCAGGCCGTCAAGTAGGTGCCCAGCGCTGAGGGGTGGCTTTTGTCCGAGGCGTACAGCGGAAATCCAGCGCGCCGGTCTCTCGCGCGCTCCCAAGCAAGCCTCGGCCCAGCTTGTTTAGGGTTTAGGGAGTTCATGGGGGGAAGTGGGTGCTGCCAGAAACTGCCCAAGCATAAATCCGAAAACCTAAACTCGATCTTTGTCGACTGAGCTGCCCTACGGGGACAACCTCAGCCCCCGTCTCTCTGGCCAGGGCTTCGTATTGAGCTGTCACAGTCGTCTGCATGCCTGGGCGGCTCACCAACCCAACACTTGAAGGTTTAGGGTTTCTTCTGCCTTGGGCTTGGGGTTCAGGGTCTAGGGTTTGGTTTTGGTCTAGGGTTCAGGCTTTAGGATTAGGATGTAGGGTCTACGCTGTACGAAAAAGAAGGGTTAGAAGTAGGGACGCAATCGTTCTAACTTCTGTAAGGGTACTTGTAACCCTACTTCTGATGTACCCAAATGAACTTGCAAGGTTGGTCCCTCTGTACATTGACCATGCGAAGCTACCTCTAGAATGCAGGCCTTCAAAGGGGGTCCTGTACCAGTAGCTCTAGGGCCCAAGTATGCAGGGACCATTAGGCTTGTGATGCGGCTTAGAGCTACTTCTAAGGTTTTGGCTACATGATTTATTTTCCGAAAAGAAACCGAATCGATTTTTTATAAAATGCGAAAAAATGACGCCGAAAAAGCGAAAAAAAATGGGTTCAGAAAAGGGGATACAATTGTGTTTTGCTTTGTTTCGCCGCATTGTCGCTTTTTGGGTCGTGTTTTTCGCTGTTTTTTATTGTTTTTTTCGCTTTTTTCCTAGGAAAAAAGCGAAAAAAAAGAAACAAAAGAGACCCAAAAAGCGACCAAAAAGCGATAATGCGGCGAAAAAGGCAAAACGTCGCTTTTTGGGTCGCTTTATTCTCGCTTTTTTCCTAGGAAAAAAGCGAAAAAAGGCGAATAAAAAGAGACCCGAAAAGCGACCCCAGCAGCCACAAACAACGAAAACAAAACAAAACAGAAGCACGCATTGTTCTTGCTTTTTTAGAGTCATTCGTTTTTGCTTTTTAAAGGCATTTTTTGGTCATTGTTTTTGCATATTTTGAGTAGCTGGCTATTTTTCGCTTTTTGGATTACATGTTACTCGCATTGTTTTCAGAAATAAATCATTTCCAGGATTTCATAGAAGTAGCTAACAAGCCGCGTCACAACGTTAGGCTCCGCTTGCTGAGCCCACAGGGCAGCGAAAGTTGATGTCCTCTACTAGTCCCTCCCCACTAACACTAGCCCGAAACCCTAAACACTCAACACAAAGATGAACGGGAAGAACCGAATAACCTAGGGAGCTCCCTTCGGCAAATCCCTCAGCCCGGAACACTTCGGGACATGCCCACAGCCTAAACCGCCTAAACCCCCAAAAAATCAGAACCCGAACCCTAAACCCTAAACCCTACACCCTAGCTTCCCCCACAACTCTTAAGCCTAAACCCTACATCCTAGCTTCCCCCACAACAACCGAGATGCTGGTATTGAACCCTAAACCCTAAACCCTAAACCCTAAACCCTAAACCCTAAACCCTAAACCCTAAACCCTAAACCCTAAACCCTAAACCCTAAACCCCCCCCCCCCCCCCCCCCTCAAAAAGAAACCGAGATGCTGGTGTTGAACTCCCTGGCCCAGGTCATGAAGACGTAGACCCGGGCCCCGCTCTGCTTCGCCGAGTCGGCCCAGAGTCGGCCGTACCTCGCTTTTGTTGCCTCTGCTCCTATAGGGTTTAGGGTTTAGGGTTTAGGGTTTAGGGTTTAGGGTTTAGGGTGGTTCATGGAGCGGTTTCTTTCTGCTTGCATGTCATAGGAGCGATAGGGTTTAGGGTTCAGGGGTGTTCATGTATGAAAATGTGTTGATGATCTCTTTTTGCGTTTAAGGACAGCTTATCTGGTTTAGGGTCCAGGTTTTCATTTGTGAGTTGAAGAGGGTCTGGGTGTAGACCCAAGAGTAACAAGGGAACTCTGGGTCTTAGTATATGCGGTGTTACACTGTTGTTATCAATTTAGGGCTTGGCGTTCAGGTTTGCAGTTTACCTCTGGCAGCTTTCGACGAACTGCAAGCGGCTTGGGTTCTAGGGTTTCGGTTTGGGGTTTAGGGCTCAGGGCTGGGTAAGGTTATGGGGTCTTGATCTAATATATGAGCCTTTTGGCGAATCCGCATATGATAGCATGGCATATTCCCTATATGAGCGAGGGACAAAATTATTTTACACGGTGCGAGGTCGCGGGAAATCACGTTATCGCTTTAAGTGGGGCCCATATCGCTTTACATACTATGGGACTGCGGGACCACATCAAGCAAAACAGGTTGAAAAGTGTTAACTAAGGTCATCGCTTTAGGTGGGGCCCATATCGCTTTCCATGGTTTACCGATGTTCGCAACAACTCGTGTCCACCGTAGTACTGGCTTCAAGAAACATAATTTTGGCAGGCGCTCATATAGCTTATTGCGCCATTTGCAAGCCCAAATCGTGCAGGTGCAGGAGACCTTGAAAGCCACAGCCCTAAACCCCAAACCCTAAACCCAAAAAACCCTAAACCCTAAACCCTAAACTCTAAACCCTAAACCCTAAACCCCAAACCTTCCGGGCCAAAGCGGCTGCCGCATTGCCTCGGGGGCCTGGAGCGATGCCAGGCTATGATCCTGAAGGACCACCGCGGTGAACGCATCCTTCGCCGAAAGCCGGGTTTAATACTTCTCCAAGCGAACCCACCCCAAACCCTAGGCCCTAAACCCTAAACCCCAAACCCTAAACCATGTAAATCCTGAACCCTAACCAATCAAGCAAGGTAGAGTTGTACTGGTCGTCGAAGGTGCGGAGCGCAGAATCTCTGCAGTTCGAAGGCCCTTCTCCCCCTTCCTTCGAGTGGATTGAGGCTTCGCCCTAAGGGTCCATGTACCTTCATCACCCTAAACCCTAAACCCTAAACCTATAGTAAATACTTGGGCCTTCAAGTGGTTCGCATATACTAGCCTTAGGGCAAGTATACGATATAGGCACGTGGATCCTTAGGGTTTTGGGCTGAGGAAAAGGGAGACTGACAGGATGGGTTGGCTGGTTGTGAGTCTGTTTGGACGGTTCGGGTTAGGGTTTTCAAAGCTTTCAGCACTGCTCTTGGCGTTTTCCTTTCTGGGGAGGGGAGGGTGCGGGGGGAGGAAGGCTTGGGAATCAGAGCTGCTCCCCAAACCCTAAACCCACTTTCATCCCAAGGCGCCAATGTTGCTCCAGGCTGGCCCCGCTGGCCGTAGACTGGCGCGCCTCGATGCTCAGGTTCTGACTGGCCGCCATGGACGCCAAGTTTTGGGGCAAATTCCAAAAGAAGGTGTAGCTGTTGCCAATAAACAGGATTCGCTGTGGCGCCTCTGTCCTCTCAAGCGCGCTTGCAAGCACCATGAGGCAAAAAAACTCCAGAAGCGTCGTGCGCCTCCGCATGAAGGAGGCGAGGCAGTCAAGCTCTATGGTCGAATGCTGCTTTGAGCACACAAGGGCTTCGTGTCTTACATTTTGGGGGATTCAGGCTCTGAACCCTTAAAGCAGCAACTCCCCTCCTCCAGTATTCGTCTTCGCTTGAGAGTAGATTCAATCTGGAAAGCCTTTTCCCTCAACCCGATAGCCCCCTGCACTCTCTGTGCCTGAACACGTGAACCCTGAACCCTACTCTGAGCTCTGTGCAGCGTAAACCCCTAAACCCCTACACCCCAAATTTTGGCATACACCCTAAACCCTAATCCCTAAACCCAAAACCCAGAACCCTAAACCCTAAGCGCGAGAAGTCGTGCCTGGCCAGCTCACTAGCTTGAAACGTGCCGATGACAGCCTCGGGTTCTACTTGGAGGCTCATTCGGGCACTCATAAACAGTGGTACCTGGTAACTACGGGCAGAACCTCACTTAGGATACTTATAACCGCTACTTATAGTACTGCTGTGCTACCTTTCTTTTTCAACGCGGTTCGGGTATAAGGGCTTGCAGCTATGGCATCGGGATACAGGGCTTTTAGGGCTGCAGGAACATTCCATTTGGGGTTTAGGGTTTAGGGGGGGTGTTCGGGCGGAAGATGTTGGAGTTTAGATTCTCGGGTTGCGAGGTCTACCCCCATGCCCCACCGCCTCCCTTCTCCTGGTCCTAGACCCTGTATGGCCCCAAGATCCCAAACCCTGAATCCCAAACACTATGAAACCCGAAAACACCCAAAATCCCAACCACCCTGGAAAAGTCCCTAAACCCTAAACCTTAACCTATAAGTCCCAACACAAACTGCGGCCAGCTGGCTTGGGCATGCGCTCGATGTGGCATGGTTTGAGGTTGCAGAGCGTTGACAGGCGCAGGACCTCGTACCCCGAAATTGCCCAGAACCCTCAACAGCCCTAAGTGCCCAAATAATCGTACTTCCCCTACATGCAACCCTACCCAGACCCCAAACCCCAGTCGGAGAATCCTCAATGCAAAAAGCCCTAAACCCTAAACCGCCTAAGCCCTAAACCTTCAGCCCTAAACCCTAAACCCTAAGCCCTATGAGCCCCATAAGCCCCATAAGCCCCATAAGCCCTGTAAGCTCTGAGCCCTTAACGGGTCACTTACACTAAACGTCGAAGCCAAATGCCCGAGGTGCGAGGATGTCGGCCCTGGTGTCGGGGCCTGGGTGCCTTTGCTGGGGTTTAGGGTTTAGGGTTTAGGGTTTAGGGCTAGGGTTTACGATTTGCAGGTTTAGAGCTTAGAGTTTCGGGTTTAGGGCCATTAAGGGTTTACTTCTCGCTGTGAATATGTCACACAAAGAAAAACGAACAGGGCTTCAAGCCAGGCAATCAGTGAAGAAAGGAGTCGGTGCACGTGTCAGTTGAGGGTTGCGCATTTTAAGGGGATTCGGGGTTTCAGGGTTTAGGGGTTTAGTGTTGCCCCTAGCTCTAAACCCTATATACCCTATTCCCTCCACGCTGAATTTGGGGGGGCTTCGGCTTTTCCGGTTCAGGCTGTGCCGCTTTTCGTGGCTGCTGGTGGCTTGGAGATTTAGAAAGGCTCCTGACAGGCTGCGTGCGCTTTTCGCTTTTTCCAGGTGTTCCGGTGAAGGGGTTGGGAGTCTGAAGCCGTCACCGTGCTTGCAATTTCTGGGTCCTGTAGCTGTTGGAAGATCAGGAGTTTCCTTACTATGGCAGCATGCACTTAAAATCAGAACAACACCCCAGATTAACTGAATAAAGTTTTGAATTCGGTGGTTGCAGTGGGGTTGCAGGGCGATTTTCTGCATAATTGAGCTTTTGTGAAGTGTTCCTATTCCTTCTTGTGTAGGATACCAAGAAGAGCCCTCATGGGTCCCCCCCTACCCCTGAATAGAGTTTAGCACCTTTCTAGGGGCCTAGGGTTAGGGTTTAGGGTTTAGGGCCAGAACTAAGTACTCCGGCCCAATGCTGCAGCAAAGGCACACGAGGAGATCGATACCTCAGGCAGGGAGCAGCAGGGCTTATGGTCTTGGCGCGCCAGCCCCCCTCCCCCTCTACCCCAGGCTACGTCCCCACCAGAGATGCTCAGGCGTACACGTACAGATGTTAAACCCTGAGCCCTAGACCCGTAATTTGGAGATCGAGGCCCCCCTTCCCGAAAGGCCTAAACTCTAAATCCTTTTTGAACCCAGGCTCTGAGCATCAATTCTAAATCCTAAACCCTATAACCCTAAATCCAAGTCCAAAACATCGGGCAACCGCCAAGACGCTGCACACCCAAGCTGGTTTGGGCGACTGCCTGCAGCCATTTGGAGATGGGAGAGTCATCTAAGGGACTAATATTTCGGGCAAAAAAGTATGGTAGCTATGGTTATCCTTTTTCTGGTACTTATAACCCTGCGTGTACTTGTAAAAGTACCCACGAACCTTCAAGCAGCCGTGTTGATTTCATATTTGGGTTTAGGGCTTCCCAAAGGTTCACTTGGAGCAGTATTGTGGAAGTAGGTCACCCTAAAAAAACCCTAAACCCTAAACCCTAAACCTGGACTATATTCTGAGGATCGTTTCGAAGTCCACAACACTCCTGGGGCCGCAAGGGATGGAAGGCCGCTTTTAGTGGTCCGTGCACCCATATGTAATGTGCTGTACTTGTGCCCGAAGAACCCCTAAACCCTAAGCCCTAAACCCTATTATGTAAGAACCACTTTCAGGCCCCGCAAGTATAAATTATATGTGACTACAGGTGCCCTCTTACCAGCCCTCAGTGACGAAGTCCTATGCTGCAACCCGCCCAGCTTTTCACGTGGGCAAGGAGAGTTCAGGGTGTCGGGTTCAGAGTGCAAAGTTGCTGGCACGAGCCATTTGGGGTTTGCGACCTTATGGGCACCTTTTTGGGGGTCCTTATGATAAGGAGATCCTACTATTTGGGAGGCCTATATGAGGGGTTGCTGAAAAATCGGAAACCCCCATTTCTGCTCATGGCCCATGGCTCCACTTTTTGCACCCGCGTTCCGCGTAATCGACCCCCCCCCCCGGCAACCCCCCACCAAACCCTGCCTGTTAACCCTAAAAACACCACGGACCCGGGGGGGGGGGGGACAGAGAAGACTCAGCCTAAACCCCAAACCCTGAACCCTAGCCCTAAAACTTCAACCCACCAATGAACGACGGGAGGGAGAAGGGTAAACCCGAAACCTTTGCTGCTTTAACTCTGAACCCTCAACCGTGAACCCAGCACGAACCACAGGGGGGAGAGGGGAAACCGTAAACCTATCATTACCCCGAACCTTGAACCCAAATCAAACTCTAAACCCACAGTGAACCAATGGACCAGAGTGAAAATCCTGAACCCTAAAGCCTAACCCTAAACCCCTAAACCACAGACCATGAACCACAGACCATGAACCACAGGGGGGGGGGGGGGGGGGGGAGGGAACCCAAAACCCACCATGAAACCACAGGGGGGGGGGGGGGGGGGAGGATACCATGGGGGGGGGGAGGGGGGGGGGGGGTGCACCTATGCTGGCCCATATATAGGTTTAGGGTATACCCTGAAAAATCGGAAACCCCCATTTCTGCTCATGGCCCATGGCTCCACTATATAGGTTTAGGGTTTAGGGTTTAGGGTTTAGGGTTTAGGGTGTAGGGTTTAGGGTTTAGGGTTTAGGGTTTAGGGTTTAGGGTTTAGGGTTTAGGGTTTAGACCCCCCTCACCTGCTCGCCAGTGGCCCCCGGAGGGCCACGTGCGCGGCTCGAGATGGTCCTGGCTGTGGCTCTACTACTTGGAGGTTCATGGTACTTAGGTTTAGGGTTTAGGGTTTAGGGTTTAGGGTTTAGGGTTTAGGGTTTAGGGTTTAGGGGTACGTATTAACCAATTGGAACTGTACGTATAACTGTACTTACAAACGTCTTAGGGCACTTGGGCTTCTGGGTGGCTTTTGCGTACAGATATTAATTGCTTATCAAGTACCCCTAAACCCTAAACCCTAAACCCTAAACCCTAAACCCTAAACCCTAAACCCTAAACCCTAAACCCTAAACCCTAAACCTAAGTACCATGAACCTCCAAGTACTAGCAGCCAGACAGGGCTCACACGATGCCCTTGAGGGCTTCGCGGCAGGCAAGGATTCAACCGTTTAGGCTTAGGGATGCCTGGGGTTCAAGGGTTTAGGGTTTAGGGTTTAGGGTTTAGGGTTTAGGGTTTAGGGTTTAGGGTTTAGGGTTCAAGGTTTAGGGTTGCCAGATCCGAGCAAGGGGTTTAGTATGTTTTGGCACGTCGTGCACATGCGTCATCCGTGAGCAGAGCCCATGCTACTCTCCTCTGTATCGTTCAAATTTGATCAGATGATCTGCGAAGGGTTCTTAGCACCCCAAACCCCAAACCCCAAACCCCAAACCCTAAACCCTAAACCCTAAACCCTAAGCCCTAAACCCTAAACCCTAAACCCCGTGTAGGGTTCGGGGACAAGGCCCGAAACGCGCCGCGGGAACCTTCGGAGAGAAGCTTCATCATGGTAGTCGCTTGCTCGAAGAGCTCCTTGAGGGTTTCGGGTTTAGGGTTCAGGGTTTAGGGTTTGGGGTTTTGGGGTTTAGGGTTTAGGGTTTAGGGCTTCGACCTACATACGCGCACAAGGCAGGCAAGGGTTTAGGGCTTGGGGTTTTGGGGTTTAGGGTGCAGGGTTCAGGGTTTAGTGTCATATACCCCATACTACGACCCTATCCTTCCAGGGACCTGGGCTGTTAGGGGTTCGAGCAACCCAGTTAGTTTGTCCCTAGAAGGATAGAGCCGTAACTTTTGGGGCTCACGTGGTCCCCAAGCAGTAGAAGCCCGAAAGGCCTGGTTTCGCGTTTCGGGCTTCGCTAGGGGGTTTAGGGTTTAGGGCTCAGGGATTTTCGACTTAGCAGCCCAGTAACCATATTCTGATAACGGCACCCTTTTTTTTGGGTTGGCTACTTTACAAGGGAACCCATAACCCAAAAAAAGGGTAAAGGGTACCATAGGGCTACTATAGGAATAAGGGCTTACCAGGATGCCTTAAAATCTCCATAATGGTCCCTATAAAGGGCCTTTTTAAGGGAGTATAGGCCGTAAAATCCCCACAATGATAGCCTATTAAAGGGCCTTTTGAAGGGAGTTTAGGGTATAATGGCCCATCCCGGTAGGGTTTTTTTACATGTTGCGAGACATCGGGTCGAAACTTCATCCCAAGGTAGATCTATCACTCCTGTTACTTCTTGGGCGACTCCGTGACCAGGGTCCAGTTCTAAACCCTAAACCCTAAACCCTAAACCCTAAACCCTAAACCCTAAACCCTAAACCCTACTTAAACCACTTGAAGCCGACAAGGGAGCTGAAGAGCCCGTGCCACGAAGAGCCTCCACTGACTTCACCGGTCCCTCCTACATCTGGAGCCCCTTAGCGCCATCGAACCGCCAAGCGCCGCTACTGCTTCATTGTTGGGGTTATATAAGAAATTATCAGTTTTATATTCCTTTTTGGGAATTTCACATGACAAAAATGTAAAATTATAACCAACAGGGACCCAGGCTATGTACGACGACCCCTGTATGCTGCCATGCTGCACGGCTCATCTCCGGTGGATGAGACAACTTGTTGATGACCTGCTCGCAAAAAAATCTGCGATCTGCTCTCAACAGCCCACACACACAAGTCTAAACTCCATGATCATTCATAGGGTTCTTAGGGGGGGGGCCACTACTCCCTAAGCTTGTTAAGGTTTTTTGGGTACATGCCCCCCCCCATGGACCCCCCTCGCTTAAGCACCCTATCATATCAAGACGTGCACAAAGCATCCCCAGATAGAAGCCGCAAGCTGAAGAGTCAGGATTCTACCCGTGTGCCGCTGGTATCCGACTCTAAACCCTAAACCCTAAACCCTACATGGACGGAATATGGTGAGCTTAGGGGGCTCAGGGAACACAGTCTTTTTGGGAACTTACGGAGTTGGTTGGGGACTAGCCTTTAGGGTTCATAGGACCTTCATAGGAATTTCAGCCGTAAAGGGTGTACGACCCCCCCAATTTTGGGATTCATTCGGTCCCCCAGCGTACAGGGAGAGCCTACAGAAAGCCACCAAAAAACAAACCTGCCCCTCACGAGTCTCAGGGGCATCTGGGACTGAAGGCATGATCCTGTGGGGTGCCCCAACTTTAAGTCGGTTTAGGGTTTATGGGGTGGGTTTAGGGTCCCCTTAAATGAGGACCTCTTCTATACTCCCTTATATACCGTTTAAAACCCAAGGCCCAGTTCTTCAGAACCCTTTGAAGAAGATAAGGGGCCATATTGCGAGTCCATGAAACTACCAACCAAGGTCCTAGACCCCACAGTAACCTAGTAACGAAGAGCCCCCCCCCCCCCCCAGAAAGGGATTAAGGGCCCTACTCTGGGTCCTACAGTCTCTACACAGGGATGGTCGTAGCTGCGTTTTGGGGGCTTAGGGTTTGCAAGCCCGACCAATGTGCGCGTCTCTTACGGCGAAAACTGCCCAGCCTCCGCGTCCATGTGTATCGGCTCCTGTGCAACTGCCGACTTAACCCCAGAATTGGGGGTCATACATTGGGATGTTCCCCTTACATACTAACAATCCTGAATAGGGATGCTAGTACGAAGGCGGCTTTTTGGGAAGCCCTTCGCATTCAAAACCTTTCCTGGACCGAACGCCTTATACTAACAGTCCTTATAACAGTCCTTAATATGAATTATAATAGGGGGTACTACAATCCCTCTTAAGGACTGTTAGTATGAGGGAGAACAACCCAAGTTCGGGCTTCTCAGGGGACTCTCAGAGAAAGCAGCGCGGTCCTCGAAGACGGATTCGCCGAAGGAGGATGCATCCTCCTTCCACGCAAAGGCTTCTAAAAACCCTATCCCTCCAGGGACCGGTACTAGAACCCTAAAGCCTACTGAACCCTACGAATCCCTCCTAAACCCTACTAAACCCTAGTAAATCCTACTAGACCTTACTGATTCCTAAGCCCAAAACCCTAGTAAGCCCTAAACCCTACCACCAAGCCCTGAACCCCAAACCCTAAACATTTCAGGGCGCTGGAGAAGGACCGGTGTTTTTCTAGTCGAACGCCTCGCCGCCCACGTCGCTGGTGGATGTGCCGTCGCTCCCCAGCCTGGGCGCTTGCCATATGCCAGGGGTTTCATTGTTATGGGAGCACGCTTATTTGTGGTTTGGGGCTTAGGGTTTGGGATGTTTCCCCTTAGACTAACAGTCCTCAACAGGGATTGCAGTACCCCCGACAACAATAATCCATGTATTCCTTGTCCTGGTTGATGAGTACCCTGGGACAAACAAGGTTAACCTTTCAATTATGGTAGGGTTACAACGACCCCAATAGGTTCAAAGTTGCCTACTCAGCTACTGAGTTGTATGTCCTGAAGAACCTCTTTCCAACCTCGGACCAGACCCAGTGACCCAAAACCATCACACCTGCTTGAGAAACCCCCAAGCTCGCTTCCTGTAAACTCGCTGAGTTGTCAGGGAGAAAAAGACTCCCAAGCTAAACCCGAAACCCTAAACCCTAAACCCTAAACCCTGAATCTTCCCACAGAGCCCAACCCCTCAATAAAGGAATGATGCCCTAGATGATCTTGGGACCCCTGCTCCTTACTAAGGGGGTATGTGGCTGAACCAAAATCACCCTGAGCTCTAACCCTAAACCGTAAACCCTACGGTTTAGGGTTTAGGGTTTAGGTTTTTTTTTTGCCACCCGCCTAGCCTGGGTTTAAGGTTTAGGGTTTAGGGTTTAGGGTGCCTTTCTTTTTATGGGGCATTCGGCTCTCTGGACCCTCGTCTGCTGGGACTCTGGACAGCGTACGCCCTGACTAGACGCCAAAGAGCCAGCCAAACCTGTACGCCCCAACTCCATGGCTTATAGGGTTTAGGGTTTAGGGTTTAGGGCTTAGGGTTTAGGGTTTCGGGTTTTTTGGCCACCCGCCTAGCTGATCGCTCTCGACCAGGGGGGTTAGGGTTTAGGGCTTTGGGTTTTCAGAGATTTCGGGGTTACTTGGAGGTTCATGGTACTTATTAACCAGTTATAACTTGTAACCCCTTAAGTACAGTTCGAATTAGTTAATGAGTAGCATGAACCTCCAAGTAGGGTCGAACCACCGCTCCCCAATCTCCTCCCCTTTGCGGGCTGCCAGGGCGCCACTCCTTCACCCCAACGCGCGCCTCCACGACCTGTGCGTAGATGCCTGGTGGAAGGGTATTGACTATACATATATATATATATACATATACATATACATATGATTATATATTAATATATACATATGATTAGCTTGCAGCTCATATAGGCCTCGCAGCAAAGTGCCCTTGTCCCAAGCCGCACAACGTGAATCCTGAACCCTAGGCCTTAAACTCCAGGAATCAATGTACCTATTTATAGTATATACTTGGGCCCTAAAGCTACTACATGGGAATCCCTTTCGGGCCAGGTATATACTATATAAAGGTCCCATGCCTCAATATAGACGGCACTCTTAAAATAAGGGCCCAAAGAGGACCCTTCAAATACGACCCATATGCCGCCCCCATGATGTTCAAGCAGCCACCCCTTGATCCGAGGTCCATGTCTCAAGGGGTTCGCAAGGCTCTCTGGTAGTCGGGGGGTTCCATAAGTTCATGAAGGCGTGCCAAAAACTTTGGTAGCCCAGCAACCCTATCATAACCCTAAACCCTAACCCTAAACCCTAAACCCTAAACCCTAAACCCTAAACCCTAAGAAGGGAGCCCGACCTCCATCTTCCTGGCAGGCCATCCTTGTAGCCTCTTAGGGGGATCCTCCGAGCTGTCTTTGAGCCCCCCCGGCTGCGAGGCAATCGGGCCGTGGAGGGGTTGAGACCGTCAGAGGGTTTCGGGTTTAGGGTTTAGGGTTTAGGGATTAGGGTTTGGAGTTTAGGCCCCAAGGACCTGCCCCAGGCCTTCATAGAAGAAAGAACTAACATGAGTTGCAGTACGTCTCACTATGTTTTCCACTTCTCCTTAGTGTTTGTTTTTCGTTTGTGATGATAACGTAACACTGTATTTATCAAGTCAAATTCTACTGTCACATACTCTCTGACCGTATGCTACACAATGCATGTTCTATATGGCCCCGTCCAACACAGCTCTCATGCTCGATACCTACCCTGCATCAGCTGCCCTGTCATTGCCATCGAAGTCAAGGAAACGTGAATGCAATACGGGCTTCGGTAAAACAACCGTGGCGGCTCTCAAATTCGACAGCAAAGGGAAAAAGTAGTACGACACACACACACACACACCGACACCGACAGGTGACGTCCAGGTTACCTGTTCCAGAAATATACCGAAGCCAAAACAACTGGCAGCCACTGAGAAGGCCGCATAGAGCCGTACCCATCCCTTTGCCTCCTGGGCGAGCACGCCCAAGTCATGAGTAGAATGGTGCTTTGTATGGGGGCTTCCGACAATGAGGGACCCCTACTATAGATCCCCGAATAGCAGGATCCCCTTATAGTAATCTTTGATCATCCCTAACCCGATCCCTCACAGAACGAATGAAAGAAGAATTGGAGCACAGGCTTGAGCTGATTTCGGGAAGAGATGCATGCCGAAGAATCACGCATGCACCGTTGCCTGCCACTCCAAAACATACATACGGGACCCCAAAAAAAGTACCCCTAATATCGTAAACTCCCAGATAGGGGTCCTTTTGATCAAGGAATCCTACTGCTCTAACTATGTTCCGGCTTAGGTCTCATTAGAAAGGGAGTCCCAGGAATGCTTCGAGACGTTCGGGGCTTCATGGCCCTGGACCCTAAACCCTAAACCCTGAACCCTAAACCCCCTACAGCGCCCTCTTTCAATGAAGCTCTGCAACAGCTTCCCTGTGAGTCCTCCAGCACGCTGGCTGCAGCGCACTCCTGGGCCCGGATCTGAAGGCTTGGGTCCTTAACGGTTGGGTTTAGGGTTTAGGGTTTAGGGTTTAGGGTTTAGGGTTCAGGGTTCAGGGTTCAGGGTTTAGGGTTTAGGGTTATATGGCCGGGTGCAAAAGCTGCTGTATAGGAGCCCCTTTCAGGCCCAAGTGTATATCATAAAGGTACACGGACCCTTCGGGAGACCTACCAAAACCAGAAACATCCTCTGCGCCTGAGCTTTTCAGTAGTTTGCATGGTCCCTTCATCTGGGCTCTGAAAAGGGGGACCCCTACATACACCCGAGACAACCCAAAACCCCACACATCAGAACCCTCTTTAATAAGAGGGAGGGCCCATGAAACTACCCTTAGAGAAGGAAACCCTAAACCCTAAACCCTAAACCCTAGAAGCCTAGAAGCCTAGAACCCTATAGAGCTCCGGGTTTATGGGTTAGACACGCGTCAAACATCCAAGATCTTAGGTTTCCTCAACAACCTACCAGCAATCGGGATTCTGCGGGAGCCACGGAGCATGGAAGACCCAGAATGTAGCGGGCGGATATTCCCCTCCTTCCAAGCAGATCAAGCCTTCTTCAAGCTGGAGGAAAGAAGAACAACATAGCTAGAGAGGACCACCGCGCGGCGAACAAACGAGACTGAAGAGTAGTGCAGGGGGCCAGGACGGGCTATTAGACCCTATACAATCACCATAAGCAACCCTATACAGGGCCGTTTTAAGGGGTTCTAGGGCATAATAGCCCGTCCTGGTCGTCTTAGTCTTTGAAAGGTAACGCCTCAACCTCGCAACAAAACACTGTGCGCTGCTTGGTGGCTAGCTTGTCTCCAGTACTTGGAGGTTCACGGGTAGTTATAACCCCAACTATACGTAAGTCTCCTTATAACCTACCTAGCTTATAGGTACCCTGAAACCTCCCGAGCCCATAGCCGTGCTCGAGCCCAGCGCGCGCAGTGCGCTGCGCAGCAAGGCGACCTGAGACGTTCGGACTGGAGGTGGGATCCCTTCTAAACCCGGGGGACCAAATATCCTGCGCACTTGGGGATCATATACCGTATGGCACGATATTTCCGCATATTTCCTATTAAGGCAATAATAATAAAAAAATAGAGACCGGGACGCTGCTGCATTTTAAGTAAAGAAAGTGCACTCCCACAGCGTCCCATTTTCAAAAAATAATAGTAATAATAATAATCTTAATAACATTAATAATATGAACCCCAAACCCGTGTTAAGGCTCTGTTAAGGTTCGTTTGGTCCGCAAGGAACTACGCCTGGACAATGTCCACACTAACAAGCCCCAAGGTTGTTTTACCCGCTCAGCTGATAGCCTTGCTCATCATCTTGCTGGCACCACTGGACTCAGAGGCAAACTGGTGCTTCTGGGCCTTCGTAGGCAAGTTCAAAGATGGCATCGAAGGCGATAGGCACACACGCCCTCTCGAATGCTCCGGCTTACCGTATGTCATATGTGGCATGGCTGCCGCAGTCCTCGATTTAGTTTGCAAGGTAACCTCGAACTTATTTGAATGAGGCAGCGTTGCAAAGTCCGATGCCAGGTATGTCGTGGACGCGGGCCACAGCCCATATTGCAAAGCAAGCATGCTGGCACACTGCCATGATCAGCAAAGAGCACATCATGCCCAATTAAGCGTTTACGGTGGCCCGACCGATCATTAGCTTGGTTGAATTGCCTGTAAGCTTGCCGGTGTGAATGCGAAGGTCTTACTTCTCTAGGGACACCGCTCTCTTGCAGGCCACTGTGGGACACTGTAGCAAGGTGCTTCGACCTCGCTTGCCCGCGAAAAGTCAAAATCTCTTGGCGAGGGGGAATGTCGCCCAGAACGTAGTGGTAAACTTGATGCCTGGCCCTTCAGCCCTTAATCTCAGAGATCTTCTTGAAGAAGCCGACCTTGGGGAAGCAGACCAAGAAGCAGACGGAAAGCATCATGGGCACCTCCGAATCAGGTGGGATAGCGGCGGCTGAGACAAAGCAGCACAACTGGCCCTGCTGCTTGATGCAAACGGTTGGGCTCACGATGCGGAGGTCGCAGCAGAAGCAGCGGAGCTTCTCCGTGTTGGACTTGAGGCAACAGTCCCACTCCAAGCAAAGAAGCGTCTCCTTAGCAGCACACCCAATCTCGATGTTCTCCAGGTTGAGCCCATTGAAGCAGCAGAAGCAAGCGCCGTAGACGGTCACCTTAGACTCGTCGATTGAGTCCATCTTCATCTGCGATGGGGCCGACATGACGGGAGCTCTGAATGGCCAGGCAGAGGCGACTTCGGGAATGTGGGGTGTCCGAAATCGCTTGGGCCAAGCCCCGTCACCAGGACTTCGGCTTGCTAGGCTTAGGATTAGGGGGACGCTTGGGGATATAGACCCTCTGAATAAGGTCCCTGTTTAAGAGAGCCAGAAGAGGGTTCAGAAAGGGTTCCCTTTTAAGGGCCCCCCTTATCCTACCTAGGAGGGGTAGGGTAAGAGTGCGGCTGCAGGTAAGGGCAAGGGTTCAGGACACCGGAAGGTGTGAATCAGGCAGGGTAGATGTGTAATATAGGGGCCTTAATAATAATGACCGGGCTCTTTTGGGGGGGTACTGCTTCCGACCCCTATATTTTCGGGCTCGGCACGAATCTCGAAGGTAGGCAGAGGATGTCAAAACCTCCCGCAAACCGTTCGACCCATCGCATGAGCATACTAGCAGCCATGGGCTGCTGCTGCTAATCACGATTACCAAGGCAACCATGTGATCTTTGACGCTCTTGTTCTTGGTTGCCCTAAACCCTAAACCCTAAACCCTGAACCTGAACCCTAAACCCTAAACCCTAAACCCTAAACCCTAAACCCTAAACCCTAAACCCTAAACCCTAAACCCTAAACCCTAAACCCTAAACCCTAAACCCTAACCCCAAAGCTTCCCTAAGCCCTGCACAGAACGCTTGCTGGGGTTCCCCGCCATGGCCTTGCGCTCAGCATGCCCGTGGCGTGGAACCTGCGCAGGCGACGTCGTCAGCTGTTGGGGGGTCCCAAAGGGTCCATGTACCCATATGAAGTAGGGTATATTTCTTGTACCCCCAAAAGGACACCAAACATATACACTCACCAATATTAAAAAAGGAACCTTATATATAAACCCTGCGTCGTATACTGGTAGTACATACTTGGGCCTTCATAAGGCTATACAGCAGCTTCCGCACCCACATGCATACCACATGGGTACATGGACCCTTAAAGGGTTGAGGGGTTTAGGGTTCAGGAAGAAGGGGCTTACGGTAGGGTCTCGACCTTCATGCTGGCATAACAGGGGCCGGATAGGCTCGATTTCGGAGCAGCGAGCAGGCTTGGGCCTAAACCCTAAACCCTAAGCCCTATAAACCCTAAACCCCAAACCGCAGATGACAGCCCAGAACACTGGACCAGAGTTGCTTCAGAACCCAGGTATATATATATATACATATATACTGACCCTTCGACTTATTAGAACGGAGATTTTGGTTTAGACCAAAGAAGCGGCCACAAAAATGGTGACCCAAACCCTGATGCCCCTCTTCAACCCACCCAAGTGCCCTGAAAGCGCCATAAAAGCCCGACACTGTCCCTAAACCCTAAACACCCCAAAACCCTAAACGACCTAAACCCCACACTCAGCAACTCTGGGCGTGTTTCCCGGTCTCTCTTCAGCGCCAGCCGCAGGGCGCCACATCCGCTGGGCCGGAGGCCAGCCTCACCTTTGCCCAAAGGTGCTTGGGGTTGTAAAGCTGTATGCTATAGGGCTCCATGAGCCCTAAACGATAAAGCCTATAAACCTACAAAACCGAAACCCAACATGACTTTATTAAGTTAAGTGGCTATGTCGTCCCTTTGCGGTCTCTAAGTATATCTGGACCTTTTGGCCTGGACTTTGCGGGCGTGCTTTTGGGGGGGAGTGGGTTTAGGGTTTAGGGTTTAGGGTTTGGGGTTTAGGGTTTGGGGGAGTGGGGAGGGGGGGGGGGCGCGGTGATATGGTGGCCTTCAGGCAAGGATATTGACATGTGTGTACGCTTCGACGCCCTGTGCGTTTTTCTGATGGTACAATGTGAGCTGGAATGTTGGAAGACACGTTTTGCCTGTCGAACGCGTCTCTGCAAGTAGCTCTGAAGCTTCCCCTCCCCTGCAGACCAAAAAATGTTAAAGAAGAACCCCGAAAAACTGGGGTCAGAAGGCAATATGAACCCTTTTGAACCCGGAACTGAGCTCCATGCCGCACTGCAGTCAAACCCTACTTGGAGGCTCAGGGTACTTCCAACCCCCCTTACAAGCCCCCTGAGTCCCCTAAGTCCTCTAAGTAGGCTATAAGTAGACTTAAACCCTAAACCTTGAACCCTAAACCCTAGACCCTATAAAACTCAAACCCTAAATTGGGGTTTTAAGGACCCATGAACCTCCAAGTAAACCCTGTTAGGGTTCATCTGGTCCCCAAGGTCAAGAGTCTCCTTCACCTGGCCCTATAGGGCTTTAGGTTTAGGGTTTAGGGTTTAGGGTTTAGGGTGTAGGGTTTAGGGTTTAGGGTTTAGGGTTTAAGGTTTAGGGTGGCAAGCAACACCGACTCCGGACTCAAACGCGCACAAAGATGGGCGTACTTTAGTTTAGGGTTTAGGGTTTAGGGTTTAGGGTTTAGGGTTTAGGGTTTAGGGATTAGGGTTTAGGGTTTAGGGTTCAGGGTTTAGGGTTTAGGGTTTAGGGTCTAGGGCAGCTGGGAGCCCCTGGGTATTGCAGGGAAGCCGATGGCTGGAAAGATATTTCGGGGGCAGCTTGCCGTACAAAATCGGTGCGAAGAAACCTGGCCCTTTGTCCGGGATTCGCGCGAGCTAAGAAGGTCCCAATTGCTCACAAATTGTCTTCAAGGCTCGCACTCTATCCTACTATTTACTTCGGAACCCTCCAAAAAAAGATAACATTCCCTGTGTTGCCCTTTTCTTTTTTGGGAGTTCTTAAGCAATCCCTAAGGGCCCATGTACCTAATTTTTGTATACTTGGCCCCCAAATACCCTATGTAGCAAGGACTTTAAGGCCCAAGCTCCCTATTTGGGTACATAAACCCTAAACCCTAAACCCTTAGGGAATTAATAGTATCTCCTGGGTTTCCAGGGATTGGAGCTGAGCTGCGAAGCGCAGCTCGACGGGCAACGTCACAGGGTCGGCGGTTGCCTGCGCAGCGCCCGGTGGCTAATATGAGGGCCTTAATAATTGGAATAGGGCTTTTGAGGGGGGTTTTGTAATAACTGGAATAGGTTTTTTTTGGTTTTTATAGTAGAGCTATGTAGGGACCATAAGGGAATACTTTATTCCGACCCCTCTGTCTGTTGCTTAGGTTCTACCAGTTCTACCTTCACAATCTACAGTATGGTGGGAATCTCGAGTTTCTGCAGCACCATCTCTGGAGAGCGACTATAAGGTTTTCGGGTTTAGGGTTGAGCTCCAGAAAGTTGGAACATGGTCTAAGAATGAAGAGAGCCTAGGGTTTAGGGTTTAGGTTTAGGGTTTAGGTTTAGGGTTTAGGGTTACTGTTCTTTTTACCGTTTGGGGTATGGGGATAAGGGCATTCCATCTATTTTGAGTATACTGTAAGTCCCGCAGTGGGCTTGGGCTTAGGTTCTGCACGTGTTGAGCCCTTGCTGGAGCGGGATTAAAGACGGTTTAGGGTTTATGGGTTTAGGGTTTAGGGTTTAGGGTGATGATAAGCACCACAGCAAGATCGAAACTTACAACCAGCATTGCAATCCCCTCGTGCGAAAGAACTGTCCCGAGCAAAACCCTTCAAGGGCCCCACCCCACTAGTTTCTACTTGAGCCCGGCAGACACCATAGAAGGCCGCACGTCGAAGAGCGCGGCCCAACAACGACAGAGCCTGAAACATGCCGCAACCCTAAACCCTAAACCCTAAACCCTAAACCCTAACCTTAGTTGTCCAGTAACCTGGGGGGAAGTAAAGGTTAACCTTTGGGACTTTATAGGGATCAGAATACCCCAAAAAGGTCAAAGGTTACCTACTCTACTACCAAGAAAGCAACAAAAGCCCTGCTTTTCCCCCCCTCCCCCTACCTCTGGAGTAGACCCAGAAAAAAAAAGTATATACTTTTTAGGTATAAGTAGCTATAATGGGAACCCAAAACCAAAAAAAGCATTAAAGTATAGTACTCCAAAGCCCAGTCCCTCCTGGTTTCACTGGGGCACCCCGCCCCAAGCCAACGGATGGGGAAAGCTTCGCCCCTGGTGCTCGCCGGCCTCTTCTGGCGGTTTGAGACTCAAAGCAAGGAAGGGCGGAGTCCTCAAGGGTTTTTTTTTTTGCCACCCGCCTAGCCGACCCCTACTGGGATCCTCAAGGGTTTAGGGTTTAGGGTTTAGGGTTTAGGGTTTAAGTCTAGGATTGCATGTAAGACCGCTACACACCGGAAGCCAGACAAAGGCCAACAGCCTTAGCAGCTTGGCCTGCTGCAGCAGCGGCGCTGCGTCGGGGCCAAGCACGCGTAGCACAGCATCCTCTCTCGAGGGGCGACTCAAAGAACGTCCAAGATGGGCTATTAGGGTTTAATCAGGGTTCAGGGGTTTTTGGGTTTAGGGTTTAGGGCCTGCAATGTGCATCATCAACCCATAAGGGCCTACCCAGATGTCTCTGTCCTTAGATTTCCTGTCTATGGGGCGCTCTCGAGGCGAGCCTATGCTCACAAGTAGGCTAGGACGGGGAGACAGGGAACCGTTCCCCTAAAACCTACACTCTCCTCCCTAAAACCCTCCTCTTGGGTGTATGCGCTTCATCAATCAAGGAACCTCGCCCCAAACGTGGGTAACTGGCGGGTGCCATTGGGCAGAGAGCCACATAACCAACTGGACCCAAGAGTACGTAACCTAGGAACAAGCAGGGCACCCTTTTTGGCTTATAAAGGGGCTTGTAAAGGGAACCTAAAACCCCGAAAAAACGAGGTTTTACTCTGGGCCCTAGCCCACGATTGAGGTGTTTGCAACTATGTTCAAAGTAAGGAGCCCTGTATGATCTTCAGAATCTTCCAATAAGCAAGCAGCATTGTGCTCTTTGGCCCTAAACCCCAAACCCTAAACCCTGAACTCCCTAAACCCTTCTCCAAGAGACTTCGCCCGCCTGACCCTACAAGGCCGTGTGGACCCGAAAGCCCTAAACCCTACCTACTTGGATGCTGCCCCTTAGACAAACAGTCGTTAATAAGACCCTAGACCCTAAACCCTAAACCCTAAACCCTAAACCCTAAACCTCCAAGTAAGCCCCAGACAGCCCGAAGCGCTCTGTGTTGGCTGCCGGGTGGCACGCTCCGAAAACGCCTCGGCACCGCCTCCGGGTCTCAAAACGTCAGCGGCTACAGCTTTAGGGGCGCTTTCGGAGACCCTAAACCCTAAACCCTAAACCCTAAACCCGAAACCCTAAACCCTAAACCCTGAGTTCAAGATCATGGAAGAGGAGCTTGGGATTTAGGGGGGTTTGGGGCCCGGGGGCCAAGGCTTGGAAACTGTGGCAATAGCACTCCAATTCCAGACCCACCATCTGCACCTGAGTATTCTGTTTTATGGGGTTTACTAATTAAGGGACCAAAGAAGATACCCCGAATTCCGGAAACGACCATATACCTCCTGCATGCCCTGTGTTTATTGTAGAAGTCACCGTGCCTGTAGCTTAGAGCAACCTCCGAAGACGCCTGAAACAAAGCTCTGCCAGACCTAACCCGCAAAGCCTCCACGAAAGTACCCTAAGCACCCAAACCCTGACCCTCATATGAAGAAACCCTGACCCTCATTGAGACTCCGACCCCCCCCCGCGCCCCCCCCCCCCCGCCCTAAACCTTAAAGCCCAGACCCCAAATCCTCAGCCCCTAAACCCTAATCCCTACACCCGAAACCCCCAAAGCCTTACAACCTGAAGTATCGAAGCCCCAGGCCTCTCAGGGCCCACAAGGCTGGGAAGTGATCGGGCGGAAGCTTGTCCTGCAAGGGGATGTACAGGCTTGCGAGAGATGGAGTCATTACAGCTATTTTGGATGACTCCACGAGCTCATGAACTCGATTCAAACACAGAAACAGGCTTTAGGATGTAGTGCACTTCCAGTCTAGGGTTTAGGGTTTGGGGCTTGTAAGGGTTTGGGAGTTGTAAGGGTTTAGGGTGTAGGACGCACCATCAGGAATCCCCAAGGGCCTCATACAGACAAAAGAAGGCCTACATGCGGACTCATGTGTGCCTGGCCCCTTGCCCAAGGCTTCTGGGTGTTCAAGATTAAACCCTACACCCTAAACCCTAAGCCCTAAACCCTAACCCCCTGAACCCTAAACCCTAAACCCCAACCTGAAAGGAGCTAAAGCTTTACGCGTGAGACTAACCCTGGAGTTGCCCTTCAGGAAGCCTTGTGCGCAGAAACACCTCTGTGACTACTTGAAGCTTCATGGGTACCTATAAAGTAGAGTTATTACCAGCACCCCCCCCTCCAACTCCCCTTTAAGCATAATATATAAGCCCCCCTTATTCAAGGGTATTTGGGGAGGAGGGGGGGGGGGGGGAGGGGGGCGGGTGCAGGCAAAAGAGTGCCTTGAATAAGGTCAGTCATGACCATCGTTTCGTTACTTATAACCCTGCTTATGAGTACCCATGAAACTCCAAGTGCACCAGCGCAACAGAACTTCTTCAGGCTACCAAGGACATGGAGTCTTGAGGACATCGGTGTGCAAGCAGTTTTGTTAAGGGTTCCCTAAACCCTAAACCCTAAACCCTAAACCCTAAACCCTAAACCCTAAACCTTTAGGGCTTAATGTTGAGGGTTGAGGGTGCGCGCGCCTTTTTTCTCGCCACTGCCAGCAGTTCAGACAAGAGAACCGTGCCAGACATGAACCCCCCAAACCCATCCCTAAACCCCTAAACCCTAACCCCTAACCCCTAACCGTAAACCCTAAACCCTAAACCCTAAACCCTAAACCCTAAACCCTAAACCCTAAACCCTAAGCCCTAAGCCCTAAGCCCTAAGCCCTAAGCCCTAAGCCCTAAACCGAACAAGTTAACCCTACAATCCTATAAACCCGAAAGTTAAACATTCTCAGCAAAAAAAAAAAAACCGAACACCCCGAAATTGTAGAGGTTCTTGGAGAGCCCCACCGCAAAGTCTGATGGCACCAGCTGCAGAAAGCGACGGGGTTTAGGATTTAGGGCAGTAAACAGAGCCAGTGTCCCTAAAAATGGAAAAACCCAAAACCCAAAACCCAAAACCCAAAACCCTAAACCCTAAACTTAAACCCTAAACTCAAAAAAGCCAAACTTTGTGGAATTACGAGCCTCGGGGAAACCAGCCTCGAGACCACGCCCCAGGAACATGTGCGCACGGTTACCACCATCACCCCTGGGGACCAAATGAACCCCAAAAATTGGGGCCCTATACCCTAGACTACAAGCATTCCGATTTAGGTATATGAACCCTAAACCCTTTTAGGGTTCATTTCGTCCCCAAGGTAGGGCCTAAACCCTCAACCCTAAACCCTAAGCCCTAAGCCCTAAACCCTAAGCCCTAAACCCGAAACCCTAAGCTAAACCCCCAACCCTGTTGTTTACCATCCCCGGGTTCCGGGGTTCGTCTCAATAACATGCGCTGAACAACCACTAAGGGTAAATTTTCAGACATCAACCATCCAACTTTGAACCCTAAACCCTAAACCCTAAACCCTAAACCCTAAAGCCCAAACCCTAAACCCTAAACCCTAAACCCTAAACCCCAAACCCCAAACCCCAAACCCCTACCACTCTCTTGGGCGAGTGGGGTCTAAGCAGGGATCTCCTGGCTTGGGGCTGAAGCAGTTGGGCTCGAGATTGACTGTGGTTCGGGTTTGGGGTTCGGGTTTGGGGTTGGGGCTTGGGGTTTGGGGTTAGGGGTTTGGGGTTTGAGGTTTGGGTGTAGGGGTTAGGGCTCCCACATAGAGTTGGCCGGGCCGCAAAGCAGGGTTTCATGTCCGATCCGTTCTGCTGCTTCTCAGAAACATTCATTCAACGTTCCCCTTCATTGCATCAAAAGTCCTGATAACCTAGCATAGAGGGTTTAGGGTTTAGGGTTATACTCCCCTTAGAACCTGAATAAACATATATAATATGTTTAGTATCTTCTTGCCATCTATACTCCCCTTAAAACCTTAATGAACATAATATGTTTAGTATCCTCTTGGGTTTTATGTAAACAAAAATAAGAAAAAATGATTCCCAAGGGCGTATAGCCATTGCAGCGTTTGGGGTTCATCTAGTCCACCCGCCAAATCGACAAGAGCACCGCCCTGCCTCCATTATTCTTGGAGATACGCCTCAGCCAGGCATTCTAAAGCCCTAAACCCTAACCCTGAACCACCATTAGAAGTAAGTGCTACTGTTAGGTTTTAGGGTTTAGGGATGAAACTAAGCCCTATGATCCCTAAGCTATAATTAAGAGCAGCGTGCCGTTCCCTCACATTTTGGCATGCTCGGAGGTTGATTTGGGTACTTCCAAGCTGGGTTACATTTACCCTAAACAACGTGATAGCCACAGTTACCCTACTTATAGTCCAACGTACCCTAAACAAGATTATAACCACAGTTACCCTACTTATAGTCACAAGTACCCTACACAAGGTTGTAACCACAGCTACCCTACTTCTAACCGTACTTTTTTAAATGCTCGTGAACCTCCAAGTTGGGTACTGCATGTTACCTTCATTCATGGGACGTAAAAAGGTCTTAATACTACTACGAGTACTTGCTTCAGAACCCCAAAACAGTTGAAGATCATAATCCCCATATTCCCAGTATAAGTAGGAAGAACATTTGGATGTTTTGGGATGTTCTCAAGCGAAAAGTAGAATAGAGTACTACGGGGGTTTATGTAGGGAGTGGATGATCCCAACGACGAATCGACGGCTTCTTTTCAAAGAGGGCCACATTGCCACTGACGAGTCAAAAGTCTCTTCCTGCAAGATGGTGGCGAGGGGAACACACTCAAAGTCCCCGTCGCTATACAAATCGCATCTACAAATCCGTGGACGGAGAGTGAGCCATCGCGCGCATGTGAAACTAACTACAAGTCGGTGATGAGTCGGAACAGCAAGATGCCTTGGCAAAGGCGCCCAAATGGCGCGCTGCGCCTCAAACAACGAGCTCCTCCGGCGAAGATGCCAAATACTGCTCCACGGTGAAGTTCTTCGCGCCTCCATAGAAGTCGATGAAGAAGAAGCTGGAAATGTTCTCCTAGACCCAAGAGTCACTCAGTGACCTAGGAATACATCCTAGTAGCCCTAAACCCTAAACCCTAAACCCTAAACCCTAAACCCTAAACCCTAAACCCAGAAGCTGGAAAGTCTTCTCCTTGGCCATCCAGTAGGGCTTGAAGGAATGCGCCCGACTCCATCCCTTCATCTGCGGGTGCTTGCTGAAAAGATAGCTCAGCGCCAGATCACTGTCCGGGCCTTCAGGAGGGCCCTTCTCAGGGCCCGTTTAGGGTTTAGGGCTTAGGGCTTAGGGTTTAGGGTTTAGGGTGTAGGGTTTAGGGTTTAGGGCTTAGGGTTTAGGGCTTAGGGTTTAGGGTTTAGGGTTTCGGGTTTGGGGTTCCATAATACCAGTGGGGCTACGATGCCCTATGACCCCCCAGAAAAAGGCCCTTTTATAGGGTTAGGGTTGGAATCTGGGGATTATAGGACCAAAATAGCTCATTTTGGTATGATCCTAAAAACCTTATAAGGGAAAATCTGAAAGTATTCCTCAACAAATTTAATGGTTACCAGCACCCCCGAAACTACCCTTGAACCATAATCGTTGGGAGATGTTGGGGGGGGGTGCAGGTAGGGTTAGGGTTTAGGCCTTCTGGGACCGGCGTGAGCTTTCCCGCAATGGTGAGGCGGGCGCAAGGGGGGTCTTCCGCAGTGGTCTTGCAGCCGATGGCCTTCTCGGAGAAGGTCAGCGTCATGCGCGGGTCCGCCAGGATGTCCTGTTTTTCTTTTTTTTTGATCAAGGGGCTTTCCTACATTAGGGTTTGGTAAGCTTAGGGTTGTGTTATTAAGCTTCTTTTGGGGAAAAAACTCCTGGGGGGTTTCAGGGTTTGGTAGATGTATGGTTCAAATTTAAGATGTCCTGGGTGGCGGCATCCTCTGGGGGCAGGAAAGTGTAGAGGATGCCCGTGGAGTGTGACGCGTTGCCATCGCCTAGGATGGCCCCCTTAAAGCCCTCGGAAAAACTATTCCTGAACATGATCCTCTTAAACCCTAAACCCTAAACCCTAAACCCTAAACCCTAAACCCTACCCCTAAACCCAATAGTTAGGGGAAATAACAAGCTCCCAAGGGCCTACACCGAGTCGCTGACGGACATGATGTCGCCAAAGGGCTGGCCTCGGTTGGCCCAGGAACCATCTGGGTTGGCCTTTAAAACCCTTTGGACGAAGCACTATATGTATATGCATGCATATACATATATATATATAGATACACATGGTTTTGGGTTTAGGGTTCAGGGTTTAGGGTGTGTATATATTTATAGATAGATCCATATAATCCCGAAAATGGAAAATGTAAGAAAATCCCAAAAGCCGGCCTAGCCATATGACAATACGGGTAGCCCAATGTTATAGTAAGGATACCAACAAGGGTAGCCCGGTACGTAGCCCGCAAACCACATAATCCTAAGTGTACTCTTGTTTTAGGGGGCTGGTTTTAGCTTTAGAAGGGAACAGTGAACCAAAAAGAGTGCCGACAAAAGGGTACCGCTGGGCTGCCAAGTGGCCCTTGAAGGCGCAGCCCAGGCGCTCGCTGGCGCAGCTCGTGGAGGACGTCGCGTAGTCGCTGTTCCACACCTCGGATGGCCAAAAAAAAATATTCCCAAGTGTGATCCTCTTAACCCAATGTATGTGGGGGAAATAGAAACCGTGCCCCTTATAAGGGCCTGCCTGGGCACTAACCACCTTGCCAGCTTCACGTGCTGCGATAAGGGCGGCCGAGGACTG